TTGCATCATTGATTCATTTATTATTTTGTATATTAAGCAAGACACTAAGTTTCGACATACAACGCGGCTAGTAATAATTTACTGTTACAATTGATTATCTACAATCCTGCATGAGACTTTGTCAGAGCTAGAGATGCTGGTGAAATCAATTTCACCAATTCAACACCAATTTCACCAGCACCTTTAGTCAGAACACAAGAACCAGTTATACGGCCAAAATTTCAAGTGAATTTTTTTTTAATGTTTCGTTGTATCTAATTTGAACTTTAATAAATTTTGCCAATAATCCACTTATTTGTAACAAACCTTTATAAATACTACGTGTATAGTTATTCAATGAGTTTACTATTTAGCTTATGGAATAAATGTACGTATCGTTGACCACCGCATGTAATATTTATAAGTACGTATTTAGGGATATATACTTTATATCATGAAAAGTATGCTCCTATATATTATTCAATTGTATGCAGTGGCCAACTGTATATGGAAACCAAAAGTCGAAATAAGGGAAACAAATGCATGACGCGAAATGAGGGGAATGAGTTTGATTATGCTAATTACCAAATTTATGTTGTGAAATAAAAAAATTCGCGAATTTTAATAATTATTAATAAAATAAAATAATTTTTTTTTTTACCATCTACTTCGAATTTAAATTTCATTAATGAATTTCAAAAATTGACAATCATCGAACTTCACGTTATACCTGTGGTCGAAATATTTCGACCATTTCGGTAGTTATCAATAAATTTGTAAAGGAGGTAGAAATCAGCTTCATGTATGAGTGACGGGAAGGGAAAACCTGTAAACCATTTCACTCATTATCATTGCGGTGATATCAACCCCTATAATAACTAGGAGTGCATATCACTGCGATGATAATGAGTGAAATGATTTACAGGTTTTCCCTTCCCGTCACTCATATGTTAAGCCAAATCCGCAGAAACTTATACAGTACAAGACCTTTGGTCTGTAATTTACGGCAATCCATGCTTAATATATGGGCGAAATTTCAAAGTCTAACCGAAAATTATTGGTTTTGCATGAGTTTTGCGGATCTGGTTTAACACATATGAAAGCCACTTTTACCACAGATATAACTCAAGTAGAAATCATTTAGTTTTTCCTTTTTTGAGATGTTTTGTGGCATCTACGTACCTCATGCATTCCCCAGTAGTTCTTTTCAATAAGTAATTTTGCCAAAAATTAGTGTGACATCGCATCGCGGTGCGGTGCATAAACAAGAATCTAATTCAAAAGGCATCACGAGAGATTAAGACTTGTGTTTTCACTTAATTTTATTAAACTAATATATTAAGACTTGTGTTTTCACTTAATTGTATTAAACTAATATATTAGTGCATATCCTTACACAGTGTACAATTAGGAAATAAATTGTTCGTGTATAATTAATACGTACAAAAATAATTAGCATAACTATAGTAATAACAGTTATAGATAATTTTGTAATCCGTGGTTTAGAGTAAGAGTTATTCTGATCAAGAATTATAATTTTGATGATACCGATATTAGTATCTAATTTCCATTTTTTTTTTCTCTACAAGTCTGCAAGTAGCGATATAATGATAAATACAAGCTTTTGTTCTTTTAATATATCGATGACTGTAAATAGACTCACCGCAATGATATTCGACTACCGCATTTATTAATATTAACAGGGTGATACCGACAGAAAAACATGGGTATCTTTTCATTGGCGTTTATTCAAATAATAAATAGAAAACAGTTACTCAAAATATAAACTGCAATCTTTTGTAATTTTACTTTTTATAAACATGAATATCGATGCATTTAACCGCATAATGATTTAACCGCATAATAATTCTAAAGATTTGGTACGTACTTTAACTAATTATAGCTTATAGAGTTTGGAAAATTCGACTAATTATAAGGTTCGTCCAATTATGGATTATGTAGGTTAAGGGAAACGATTTTTTTGGATGAAGTCACCTTTATCAACGATAAATTAATACTGCAATGAACATGTTTTTTTGTTGATGTTCCATAAAAATTAGTTCTGACGTTACAATAGGACAAAAATTTTGGAAATAGACTTTTCAAGTAACAAAAACCTAGCGATTCACGTTACGTCTGATCTTGTGATATTTCTAATTTCCTTATTTAAAGTCGTATCGGTATCACTTGCAGAAAATAAGTTGCAGATGTATCCTTAATAAAAATTGTGTACGTTATATTACCATTAATTGTTGCTCTCATTGACGAGTAGATCATTATCAATTTAATTTAATTATTATTATTATACCTCAAAATTATAAAAAGAGAAGAATTTCGTATTTTATTCAAAAGAAAAAAAATATAAATTTTTTTATATATTTATAATGAGTTATAGTCGCTTGTTTAGTCATGATTGTCCCGCAGAAAATATGAATGAAACAGATCCTACAAGTTTTCTAGATAATGGATTAAATTGGGATGGTAGTTAAATTTTTTAGAAATTATTATCGTTAAAAAGAAAACATTTTTTTTTTTACTCTTATTTTTTGAATTAGCTCACAGAATTGGATGGACTGTATCGGGTTTGTTCGCACTTGCTGCAACATTAGTCTCGTTTTATTTGATTTTCAGGCATTTACAAAATTATAATAAGGTTTGTTATAACTTGTTTACTTTTTAAAAATTTATAAATATCATTATTCGAAATACATACTTAAAACTTTATTTATGATAATAGCCAAATCATCAACGATACATTGTTCGCATTATTCTTATGGTTCCGATATATGCTATCGTTTCCTGGTTATCTTATAGATACTTTCGTTATAGTACTTACTATGAAACAATTCGAGATTGTTATGAAGCATTTGCTATTGCTGCTTTTTTTGCTTTACTTACACAATTCGTTGGTGAATCAACTGAAGAACAAAAACAAATGTTATTTCATCTTAAAAAACGAAAGCTTCCATTTCCTTGCTGTTGCTTTTGGTATAAACCAGCCGGTCACTCGTTTCTTGCCCTTACAAAATGGGGTATATTACAATATGTTATAATGAAACCTTTAATTACATTCGTTTCACTTATTACCGAAGCTTTGGGTATTTTTTGCGCGGAAAGTTTGAGTTTTGCTTTTGCTAGAGTTTATACGAAAATCGCAACTTTTGTTTGTGTAACTATTGCTATGTATGCTTTGGTGCGTTTAACTTTGAACTTTGTATGATTTCATTTTTTAAAAAAAAATTCAAGTGCGACTTACCTTTAAATTTTTATCATTATAGTTTGTGTTTTATCGAACGATTCATGAAGACATCGCAGAACATAAGCCATTTTTGAAATTCCTTTGTATAAAATTGGTTATTTTCTTTTCGTTTTGGCAATCCATAGTTCTTGCTATTGTTGCTGACATAGGTAAATATTATTTAATCTCTCATTCAAAATTTTAATTGTTAATATCAGATGTTCTTAACGTTTTCTATTTAATCTTTAATTATTTAAATAGGTTTAATCAAAGCGACTCAATATTGGTATTTACACTTTCATATTTTCATAAATTAAATTTTCTTTTATTCTTTTATTAAACTTGTATCATCAATTCTTTCATAATAGGACAAGTGCAAATGTCAGTCGAGGTTTAGCCGCCATTTTAGTCTGTATAGAAATGGCTGTCTTTTCAATTATACACATATTTGCATTTCCTTATAAAGGTTATAAAGAAGACAAAAAAGTTCCATTATCAAAAGGATTAATAGATGCTTTTAATCCAATTGATATTTGGAGAGAATTTGTATTTGTTTGGAAATATTTTATGAATAGAATTACCGGAAAATCAACAACCACAACTAAATCATTTATGGACATAGAAGGTGCTATTAGAGCTGATACTAATGGAAAACAATTACAAAAAACTAATTCTACGGATCTCGAAAGTGCTAATAATATTAAAGATGGTAAAAACGAAAAGTAAAAACATCAATGGAAATAATAATTCATTTCTAAATTTCTAAGACACGTCTCCCGAAATAGTCACATGGTCTAATCTAGCATTTTATGTTCTTATTATGTATTAATAGCGATAGTGGGTGAAATTTCATATATAATTCAAATAGAAAATTAACTTGATGATTAGACATTTGAGAGTGTGACCATAACGAGAGGTGACGGCAGTTATTTTCCGATGTATATATATTTCACTTACGTACTCAAAATAGAAATTTTCTTAATATATACTATATAATACACATATAATATATATATATATATATATATATATGATAATATTATTAACATTGTTCATTTAATAACAGTTTATCATAAATAAATTCACTTCACGGGGTAACCCCTGAAGAATATGATTTCATGATACTGACAGTATTAACATGTGATCAGCTTTCCCCACTGCATTACATTATCGTTATTCACTGAATATCTGTCATATCTGCCATGTATGCCTTTGTTAGAGCACGTTTAGAGCATGAAAAAAACACTGTTTCATCGTCATAGGCAAACGCAAAATTTTAAAATTTTTTCGATCGTGATCGACAAAATCTGGCTTTAATCTGTCATACGTATCACGAAAGAATTGGATACACTTCTATTCTTCTATTGTTACTCTGAGATACTAGCCTTGGTACGTACAATATTTATTTTATTGCCACGTGTGTGACGCCAAAGCTTGGCTAAAAAGCTGAAACTAACAAAGTCAATTGACAGACCACTAATTAACCAATCAAATGCGTTAGTCTTGTTAATATTATAGATTAACGACAATTTGATACGTAAAAGACAATTTACTAAAGACAATTTACTAAATATTTTATATTTGTCATTGTACCACATACTTAAAAAAAAAAAGTACGTAGTAGAATATTGTGTAAGTTATATTACAAAAGTTTGAAAATCTTCCGATGCAAATGTACATGAAAAAACTTTTAAAAAAATTAAAAAAAAAAAGATATTGCATGGATATAGAAAAAGTCTTTTATGCTGTTAAGAAGAAAAAAAAAATTTTTCTATAAAGTATTCTACGATGCGATACCAAACATCCAGAAAGGTGGTAAGCCTCTTCGTCTAGCCTCATCTCCTATACCAATTATTACATTCAATTCTTCTTTGTTAGTTTTGTTATCTAAATTAATCAAATTAATGTAATCTATTATATTATTGTTATTAAAATATTGTGCATAAATGTGTTCATCTTGAGTTTGACATATATCTTGTCCGGTTTCACTATTAGCCTTAAATGCGCTCTTTGCCATATGCGTTAAAGCTATAATAGCACTATCATGCATTCTATTATTATAATATTTGAAATGTTCTATAATTGCTTCACTAATTCTTTGTCCATCCTTTGTTGTATATTGCCATATATCTGATCCACAACGTCCATTTTGTACTATTCGTACAAGATGTAACCAATATTGTAAATTTAATGTAGTGTATCGAAAAACATTCTCATCAAAATCTAATGGTTTAATTTTACCAATATCAACCAAATTTTGAACATACATAATTTCATGATTCTGTGAAATTTTTGGCATTGAGATATTTATAGGAATATTAAATTGTTTACCAATTCGCATTCGTACTCTATTAGCTACTCGAAGGTAAAGCCTTATATCATCAAGAAATCCAGATAATGATATCACTTGAAGGTCATACAAAGTACCATGATGATTGGATTGTCTCCCTATTTTAAGATTTTGTGCTGAACTAATTAATGATTCTAACCAATCAGATGCAAAATTTTGGAGATTCATATATTCCTTATGAGTAAGAACACGCGCTCGATAAAGAAGTCTACATGCATCCAAAAAAAAGCTTGGATCGGTATTAGTTAAATTTTTTGAAAAAGATGCTCCAACATTTAAAAATTTTGGTATTAAACGTGGAATTTTATTTAAATATGGAAAACTATAGCCTTCATTACTAATGATTTCACTATTATTTATATGAGAAGGTGCTTCAACATTATTTTGTTCTCCAACTGCATGTGATTTAACTATATGTTCAATGTTATTTTGTTCTCCAATTGCATCTGATTTAATTATATGAGAAGGTGCTTCAACGTTATTTTGTTCTCCAACTGCATATGATGAAAGAATGAATGTTCTAATCAGATTAGCAGCCCATCTCGAATATTGTTCATCACCGGAAAAATAATGTGCAAGGGCCAAAGTTGTTACATTTTCAAAGAATATATCAGGTGATATAGTTGTAATTGTCACAGGTGAAGGCACAGGAGATGTTTTAAATGAATCCTTCATAAGACCAGAAAGATCAGGAATAGGATTTCTGGTCATGTTTACTAGTTCTGAATTATCTAAATTATCTGATTTATCCAAATTATCCAAATTATCTGAATTATCTGATTTATCTGAATTATCCAAATTATCCAAATTATCTGAATTATCTGAATTATCTAAATTATCTAAATTATCTAAATTATCGGATTCTTTTTCTTTGATTTTCAAGAAATATATACGAATATTCGCATCCACATGGACATTAGGTTCTGATTCATATGAATTAATAAGTTCAGATAATATATTATCAGCATGTTTGATCAACATTTTAACTACTTCAACAACTTTAGGTACGCCTATCCAAAAATCCAATCTTGCTTTATTAAGTAACTTTTCGTCATAAAGAGATAATCGAAAAGGATCAAAACCTTTAACTTTTCGAGCCATACGTTCATCTAAACCATCTATAAAATTTTGAATAGCCAATAATCGATTAAATGCACGTATTGGTCCTGATTCTTTCTTTTCTTGTGACACTTGACCCGAAAATAACCGAAAAACCCAACCAGCAGATTGATATTGTATTTCTTCTGCTTTATTAGGATAACTATCTGTGGGTTCCCATGGTGCTCCAGGAGTCTTGTGTGATGAAGATGGAGGAAATCCTAAACGCCATAACATTTCCAACTATATAAATGAAAATTATAATATTGTAATATTGTTAATTATTTTACTGTATACAATAATAATTAATAATAAAAAAGAAATTGTTAATTACCTTGGATCTTCTACCATAACGCATTTGTTCATTATATACCTTAGCAGAATCATATCTAAATATTATTTGAGGTTCTTCTGGAGTAGTAGGACGAACATCTAATTCTTCTAATAATTGTGAATTATTTAATAATCTTGCCATTGGTACTATAAAATATTTATATTGATCACCAAATAAATTTAAACGAGCTCGAATTTCTGCAAATGCGTTAGGTGTTAAAAAACAATTTCCATCAAATGGTAAAATCCAACGTGCATTTAATTGAGATTTTCCATGTGCAAGAGCTATATTTCTACCACCATTCTACAAAAAAAAATTTAACAAAAATTTAATCAAAAATAATAATAATAATAATAATAATAATAAATAATAATGATAATAAATAATAATAATAATAAATAATAATAATAATAAATAATAATAATAATAATAATAATAATAATAATAATAAT